GGTGGGCTTGGGTGCCGCTCCTTGTCCGCCTGTATTAAACCAGCCAGGGTCGGCTTGACCGGTCCATCTTGGACCAGTCTATTAGTTAACTTAATATTAAAACTATTAAGAATTAATTGATTCCACTGATAGTTCTTAATACGCTCTGCTATTATAAAACTAGCACTGGAATACATCAAGGCCAATCAGCAAGAATTGCTAGAGAAAAAAAAAAAAACACAAGAAGATGCAAATAGCATGCAAGTCTATAATACTAAATTTTTAGGAATATGAAAATTACAAAATAACTCATTTGGCTCTTATGCTTTAAAAGCCTTGTGAAAAGGGAGTGAAGATAGATTTTTTTTCCAATTTCTCCCTCTGGTAAATAGAATTTAAAACCTTCTATACACTAGAAAGTCAGCAGTTTGAGTGCTCTCATATGAATCATAAGATTATAGAGCATCTTGATCATCTCTTTGTTCACAACTTGGAGTGAGGGAAGGTTTTAAAGGGATCGATGGATGAAGATCAATGGTGATGCTTGTAGGTTTTTATGAGATCATCACCATAGGGCTAGCAGGTGCAGGCAAAAGTGACTTTAATCTTAAGGAGAAATAACTCAAAAATTAGTTCTAAGTTCTTTTTGTAGACCTGATCTAATAGATGGGGCCTCCAAAGTGGTAGATGGTCGGATTTGATCAGTTGATTGTACCTTTTGCACTTTGAAGCATCCAAGGAAATTATGCCTATAAATTTGTAGGGTGATTAATATATTTGTTTTCCTTTAAATTCAACCCTCTGTTGATATTCAAACATCAATGAGCCATTCCACACCTCTTGTCCTAACTAATAAGTGATATCTAGTTCGACAGGTCTCTGGCCACAAGAGGCCTTGTAAGACGAGTAATAATATTATCCACCGGCAATGGGTTGCCTGATATAGAATCAATGGAGTATAAATTGGATTGGTTGAATAATGTAAACAAAGTTGAGGGAATGTAATCCAGACTAGAGTGATAGATGGTTTCTTAGATGCGTCAAAATGGGATGACCATTTTAGCATGTGTATGGGGAAGCCACTAACATAGGCTTCATTTGGGATGGCTTTCTTACTGCTTCTTAAAACAGCTTTGTAGTATAAAAATTTTAATTTTTGTACTAAAATGTTGCTTTAAGAAGCAGTAAAAAAGTCATCCCAAACGAAGCCATAGTAAGATCATTAGGAGAAAAGCCTAGTGTAATCTACTTTTGAACAGTTGATAATAACCTAATAAGGGTTAATGAGGCCAATGTAATGGTAGCCAATCAAAGGTAAATCAAACAAAAAATTACGCTTAATCTACAAGTTGTGGTGGCCCAATGATACTTTGACAACATGACTTGTTAACCAAAGATGTTTGTGCTGCTAATGTTGATGGCATAGGGGACATACTTAAACATGATGACAACATGAAATTTTATTCATGTGCTTCGTTGACTTCAGCAAAGTATAAATCTACTGATAGGATTTTCCATACCCCCTCCCTCCCTCCCTCCCTCCCTCCCTCCTTCCTACCTTTCTTAAATTGAAGGTTTGAGACGATAAAATTATTTCTAAAAATATGTTACATTAATGGACTTGTATAACTTTATCATTATTGGTAAGTTATATTGGTAAACTTTTTATTTGGAGAATCCCTAGGAAATATGCATTTGAGAGGTTTGGTGTCTAATTTTCTGTGGTGTGGTTGATTTAAGTGAATAAAGAAAGTACACTTGAATACTTTAATGAATGTAGTGGAGTCAATACTAATGTTAGAATATGAAATAAATGAGGATTTGGCATGAGATTTTGAGTTTCAAGTCTGGAGAAGGTATTTTGTCGACGAAGTCTGTTGTGATAGCTGGTGTAAAAGCATCTGCCAAAGGAGAGTATAAAAAGCATTTTATTCAAGCATATTCAATATTTAAAGTAAATTTGGCAATAACTGAAGTATTATTCAATACTTCGCCCAAAATTGGCAACAATTTGCTTATCATTAGCTCATTCCTAGCAGCATGATAGCTGGTATCATGCACGTTAAGTTATTAATAATTCAAAATTTCTGTTCTTAGAATTGAATATTTTTTTGCTCAAGAAAATTAGAAAATTGCCAAAGGAGAGTATAAAAGCATTATATTCTCATGAAAAATTGGCGAATAGAATTTTTTTTAACATAAACTTAGAAATCGGCCAAAGAAGACTATAAAGTAGTTTATTCATATCATAAATCAGTGAAATGGTGCCTTTATGGTTTGGTTTTTGCATGATTATTGTCTGATTTCCTTGTCTTCTTCAGGTTCTACATGCGTTACTTCAGAAATTCACCGACTCCATGTCAAGGTACATCAAGTACCAAGCTGACAATGGAGCTCAAGCTGTTCAGATATTTGATTCCTGGGCAACTGAGTTGAGTCCAGTAGACTTCGAAGAATTTAGCCTGCCTTACTTGAAGGAAATAGTATCCTCAGTTAAGAAGACACATCCACATCTTCCATTGATCCTATATGCAAGTGGATCTGGAGGATTGCTTGAGAGGCTCCGCCTTACCGGCGTCGATGTTGTTAGCTTGGACTGGACGGTCGACATGTGGGAAGGCCGTCGGCGATTGGGTTTGGATGTAGCAGTGCAAGGAAACATAGACCCAGGTGTTCTTTTTGGATCAAAAGAGTTCATAACAAAAAGGATTCATGACACCATCAAAAAAGCTGGTAGTGATAAGCATATCTTGAATCTAGGACATGGCATTGTTGTAGGAACACCAGAAGAAAATGTTGCACACTTCTTCGAAGTTGCGAAGGGCATCAGGTACAGCAATTTATCTTCTTGATTCAACTATTTACTTATTTAGTGAATAGGAATTTGAAGGATTCCAGGTGCCCAACTTCCAGATTTTTGATAGTTTATCGACTTGATTAGATATAGATGAAAACATTTGAGAGAAGAGAAGCGTAGTTGAAAAGAGCCTCTTGTTGTAAACTTTGTATTCCTATTTGTACTTCATCAATGTGATATATTTACATTCTCTCATGCTATCTTTGAAAGATTTTCGCAAGGTTCTTCCATTCTCCATTTGTCATGTATTTATGAAATATATGGAAAATCATTTATGATCTTTCTTTTGGCTAAGTAGCTTATGTCATTAGTCCTACCACTACGGGAAAACACGCGAATACCGGCGGAGTTTCCGGCGGATTTTTTTAGACGGTAATAAACGGCGTACTCACCGACGGATTTGTTCGACGTAAGGCTTGCGTCAACATTACCGGCGGAACATACGTCGGAAATTCACCGACGCCGTGTCCGCCGGAAAACCCGACGGTATAGGGATGCCTGAACCATTACCGTCGCATGTTACGGCGGAACTATTCCGGCTTATGGTTCCGGCGGATAGTACGCCGCCTTATTTAAACTCAACGAAAAAAAAAACGACGGAGTATACGTCGGAAATTATACCGACGGCAATATTAAAATTACCGGCGGACCGTCCGCCTTATTTAAACTCATTATTCCGTCGGATTATCTATGTTTACCGGCGGATGTTGTCCACCGGTATTAACGGGTTTTCCTGTAGTGTATCATATACACAACTTGTAAGAATCGGTTGCTAGTTCAACTGAAAGGTAGCGACTCTTCATGTGAGATAACTCTCTTTCGTTCATTCCTTTTTAACCACAAAAATAGAAGAAGTTCTGAATGAGAGAAAGGAGTAGAGAAAGGGAGATGAAACCTACGAGCAAATCACCAGGAAGAGATCGTGATTTTCGCGGCGAGTGTGGAGAGGCTAGCGACGATCGAGTGAGGATGAGCGGCGAGCACGGGTTGGAAAGGTAATATTTTCTTATATTATATGAAATTATATTTTGAGAAAAAGAGAGAGAATAGAATACTGAATTAAAAAAATGTTGATAATTTTAAATTATTTATTAATAAATTTGTAAGAATAAAATAATAAATATAATTAAGATATTTTATTTATTTAAAATTTATAATATAACTTAGAAGATATTAATGTTAAATTTAATGTTTAAAAACAAAAAGTAGTATATATATATATATATAAATAGAGGGTATATTTA